TCTGAGGGAAGTTTGGTTGGGTAAGAAAATGAAGAGGAGAAAAATAGAAAGGATAGTTTAATAGCACTACACTTGCATAAACCGTAGGGACATTGTTTTGTGAATTTAATAGAGAGAGTCAAGCTCGGTTAATAGAGAAGACGATGAAGAAGATTGAACCAGTTTGAGGAAAATAAACGCGTTTTGTTTAATTTAAGTTTTGTTTATCTTATCGCCGTGTTTTGCGGTGAGATTTGTCTTGATTAGATTAAAAGTTTGTCTATTGCAAGTCTACTCTTTTCAATCTTGGCAACTTCTAATCATGCCGCAGCCTCATGCGTCAAGAGTATACCATAAATAAAAAACATATCATTTCTGTTTCTGAGTCCTTTTTTATTTGGATGACTTTGCAATTTCCATGAAAGTTTCTTTCAATTATGCAGTAGTCTAGTATGGAAATGGTCAACCATAAAACTCGATTTTAAGTATTATACTAATTTTTAAAAAGTATACCATAAAAAAAACATTTTTTGTTTCCGAATCCCTTTTCATTTGGACAATTTGCATTAAAGGTTGGTGATTTTTTTTTTATTGGGGTGACTTTGCAATTGACCCAATCAGTTTTTGTTAGCGTAAACGGTCTAAAGCACCTAAGGAGATGGATTGACCAAACTTGCCAACTGAATTTTTCGTACCGAACTAAAACTATCTAAATATACTGAAATTATCCGATTTTAATCGAAATTTTAAAAAAACTTATCTAAACAATCCGATATCTAAACTGAACAGGACCGAAATTTGTTTCGGTTATTTTTGATATAGCTATTACTATCCAAACTACCCGAACCGAACTATCCAAAGTCGCAAGCCTACTAGTAATATGTGTGTGACCGGTTAAATTTGGTTTCTTTTGTCCAAGACTAGTAAAATGAATGCCATTCATCCATTCCATAAGTGACAAAGTAATGTAAACTATCGAATTGGAGTCATGCATACGGATTCACACAGTTGGAATCACTCAAGCTCGTCAGAAATTGAACTTGCGGCGGTCGGAGGCGATGAATATGATTCTCCTGCCTAGTGACACGTGTTCAAAGTGTGTCAAAAGCAGACGGATATTTCCATATAAAATAAAAATAAAGGGAATATCTGGAAAAAAAAAACTTTCTTTTAATAAAGAAAGAAACGACGTCGCTTTTGTTCGTCGTTTAGTCTCTCGTCTGGTAAAATGAGAAGTTTTGTGGAAAAACGTGAGCCAACCCCACGTTTCAAGAAACAAAACAACTGC